GGGGGGGGTGGAGAGGGAAGGCGGGGGGGGCGGTGCCAAGGGGGCTCGGTCGCTCTGGTTCAGTGCGGGCAGTGGGCTGGCAGCCAGGCCGGCCCAGGGAGTGACAGACCTGCAAGCAGGCTTCCATCTGCGTACTCCAGACCAAAAGGACAACCAACAGCAGCCCGAGAAAGGCTTGCGCCTATCACTCTCCACCCTGTCCCCCAGCCAGACACCTGTCAGTCATCATAAGCCCAGCCGGCTCCCTCACACCAGCCTTCTGGTGGCCCATCAGTCAGGCTGGCTACCGGCGGCTCTTTTAAACCAACTCCCCGCTTCTAGAACCATCAGCTGAACTGTCACCGAAACCTCCTGACCAGTATTGGAGTCTCCAGTCAGACCCTCCCCTCATACTTCCCCCTGCTGCTGGAGGTTCTGGTTCGACACCAGCCAATCATCTCCCCAATCTTCCCACTGCTGAGCACCCTGCACTGGCTTTCGATATTCTTAAACTCTGGTGGGAGGAAAGCTTGCCTGGGGATCTCATTTTTAAGAGCGGAACCTAGACCCCCATCCCAACCAGGTGATTCCAAGGTGGGTCATCCTCGGGCACATTTTCAACATGGCTAATGTGAGGGATGAGATCCAAACTCAGTAACTGAGCACAGAAGTCCTTCAGGAGAGAAATATTATCCCTCCCCTGGCACCCTGTACCTCACGGGAATCCACCTATTTCCAAGTCCCTGGGAACTTCCCTGTGCCTGGGACCCTAGTGTTCTCCCACCCAGAGAGCATCTCATTGCCTTTACTATCTGGTTGAACTTGTTGCAAATCGACCTAAACCAATTTGGTCATGGACAATCTTTTGGCAGGTAAAGGTAGTACCCAAACCCCATGTGCACACTGTATTATGATGCAAACAATTTTCAAGACCAAATTCTGCCACATGTGGAAATACCTTTTCACCAGTGTGGAGCCCAGTGTGGGGCTTGAACTCATGACCCTGAGATCAAGACCTGAGCTGAGATCAAGAGTCACATGCTCAACCGACTGCACCACCCAAGTGCCCCTTTCACCAAACATACTTTAGCAGTCAAGTACAAAACTGAGCATAGAATTCTTCTGTGTGGTGAATTCCAGTGCCTTTTTAAGTGATCTGACAACCAACCATTTTTGTCTGCTGAAGCAGGATCCTATTAACCTTGTGATGCCATCAGAATCCTCCAATCCAATCATTTAGGCATCAGCCTTGGGCACGCAAACTAAGGGCATAGACTAATGGCTTCAATGGATTCTTATACCTGGTTGTGGAGAGGTAGGAAAGGTCTCTAAAATACTGTAGCCGGTGCATATTGAATTCACACATATTAAATACCACTAATTTCATCAATGAGAAACCAGGTATGGCATCCCTTATGCTAATTAAGAAGGCAATAATTTCCCCCACTGAAAAGCTGTTCTTAGCATTCACTATCCTAACTTAATAAAAGCTTCTGGTTTCCTTTGGAATAAGTAAGTTGGAGCTCTGGGCCCTGACTTATATTGAGACCTTGTTGACTAAATGATCTGGAGCATAAATCTCTGATCAGAGCAACTGACCACTCCTTAGAATGCAATATCAATTAGCAGATACTATCACAATGTCTATAGTGGATGTTTTCAAGTAAATTACAAGATCATAATACAGCTACCTATTGTTACAGATTCAGCTCAAGTGCTCCCTCCTCTGTGAGGCTTTCCCTGCCTGCTGAGTTAGCTTCCTCAAGCCTGGTATGTCCCTCTCATGGCACTGAGTGGTGTATGGTCATGGCTTACTTGACTCTCCTCTCTGGTGGCTGTGAGCTTCCTGGGCAATGGTACTCTTTTGTATCCTTAGGACAGTGTTGGACTCAATAGATTGTCAATACATGTAGACTTGCTGAATGTATGGATAACGGATAAATACCAGATCCATGGGTAAAGTGACAAAGTTGGCTGGGATGCTCAAAAGCCTGCCAGTCTACCTCTTCCCACCGCCTCAGGCTGCTGTCTCCTGCCCTGCTCTGTGGTCCTCCCAGAGAGCACCATGCTCTAGTCATCACCACCATCATGGGCTTTTTCCATCCGAGTTCAAGGAATCACTGATTATAGCAACTCCCATAGCTATGAAAGAAGGAATAAATTTTTAAATTACTGCTTTTTACCCACATTCATCCAGTTGGGAGAAAGGGGGAGCTGACAGATGATTTGGGGTAAGAACTTCTCCTGGTATTCTGGTCAGTTTGAGCACTGAAGGGCATGAGCCAATAACGGGGCTTCTCACTCCAGAAGTAAACTTTAAGTTCCCTCCTCAGTAAAAATGGGCATAATAGCATCTACATTACATGTTGTTTTTGACAATCAGATTTCATAACATATGTCTAACTCCTAGTGGAGCAGAGCACCTGGCTCTCAGTAGAGTTCCGGATGGTCACTGCCTTCCACAGTCTAGTGAACATGTTTCATTTCATCTGCTTGGCATCCTTTCCCTATTTGTCTTCTGTGCACTGGTGGGGAAGGGGTACTTTTCGTCTATTTCCTGTAATGTGATTTACTGGAACCCAATCCTTGGGACCTCTTGGACTCAGGTCTGTCCAACCATATCACCTCCATTCTGGCGACTCCAGTGACTGGGCAAGTCTGGGTAGACCAGAGCCTTCCTTGAAATTTGTATATTCTGAAGTGAGGGAGAGAAGTCTTCTCCTCTGGTGTCACTAATCTGTCACTAAGAAACCAGTGACTGCTAGCAGCCATGTTCTCTGTCACACAGAGAAAGCCTGTTTACAATAGGTGAGGATAAAACCATTAGAAATGAAAGATTATGTGCACTCGTCTGCTAGCCGCAGCCCACGAGCACCTAAATTGCCCTCATTCTTACAGGTGGCCCAATTCTGGACCCCTGCTTTACTCAATGACCAAGAAACATCCCCCCGACCCGCCTTAATCGATCAAAGCTGTATTTTTGTGCTTGAGATCAAATGAAAGCACCCTTGGCCAACACAGTCCCCTGCCCCCAGCCCCCTACCTCTGCTGAAAAAAATGCGACATGATCTACACTTGGTAGTAAAACAGCCTCTTCCCAGACTATTGTAGGACCTGGCAATCCCAGGTGTAGGTAAAGATCCAAATGAGATGCCTGCTTTTTTCCACCAACAAGTTCTGGGGGGAGAAATGCCCTTAGCAACTTTGTTCCTAATAACTAAACATCTATGTTGACTAGAAAATCCAGACATAAAAGAGTACCTGCCAGAGTTGACATAAAGTACCACACCTGGTGAAGCTGACCCTGGCTGTTACAAATCAGAACGGGGGTTAGTCCCAGTCAGAGATTGCAACTGGTGAAGGCCAGGAAGGGGGAGCCTGGGGGGCCGGGGTTCCACCTTGGGGTGAGCTGGGTGTGCTACCCAGGGGCATCCACTTTGTGAACATTCATTGAGCTGTATGTTCAGTAATTATTCGTGTACTTTTCCGTGTGTGTGTTATACTTGAGCAAAAAGCAGGCTTTAAAAAATTAAAAATATGCCCTGCTTCACACAGACTCTTGTGACCACTCCACATTTGTCAAGCCTAAGCTTGTCCCAGAGTCAGAGCCGGTGACCACGTCCAGCAGCAGCCTCTTTCTCCTGGGGTCTGTAGGTCTGCCATCTTGGCCGCCCTGTCTTGATGAGCACTGTTTTTCTTCTAATGACAGGCTTGGTTCCAATGCCTTCTCCTCCAGGAAGCCCCCTCCCCACCCCCCCAAGTTGGTGCCCATCTCTGCGCAGAGGATTGCTCGCACACACCCCACCTTCTGTACCCATCTCCCTGTCTTCTCACTGCTTACTGACACATATCTTCCCTCACGACAAGACAGCTCGACTGTTGGATTTTTCCTTTTGGTGTCCCGGACATTGAGCACAAAACTGTATTGTCACTGTCATTTATGTGTCTGTCTTTCCCACCCGACTGTGAACCTACATGCTAGGCCCTTGAAAGTGTTGATCTAATGAATGAATAAACCAATGAATAAGTAAATGCGAGGGTCATGCGGGGAAAAAAAGTAATAAACTTGGGATTTGGAGACTTGGGTCTGAGTCCAAGTTCCCCTGCTTACCAGCTCTGTGACCTTGGGCAGGTGATGGAATGTTTCTGCGGCCCGGCCTTTCAGGTGCATGATAGATAGAGCCTTGGTGCAGGATGTATGCTTTGCAAATCATGAAGCGTTACAGAACTGTGAGGCGTTACTACTGAACGAGGAAGCCCCCAGGCACCAAGTCAAGTGCTTTTTTGACGTGGGCAAAACTGACGGGGGACGGAGGGACCATAGAACTTTTCTGATGGAATCTGAGCCCTCCACGGAAGAGGCTGCGGCAGCAGCTTCCCAGCACCACATGCAGACATAAATTTGGATTTCAGCTCTGCTTAGCACCTAGTAAGAAAGAGAGATTTTGTTTGGTTTAATTCTTGTTGGTTGGTTTATTTTTATAATGCCC